TGTGTGTGTGTGTGTGTGTGTGTGTGTGTGTGTGTGTGTGTGTGCGCGCGCACATGTGGAGTGGCTCAGAACACTGGCCTGACCACAGAAGTTTAGCTCTCAAAGAAAAGACAGGAGAGAAGCCCTGAATGCCAATAATGCATTTGCTCTATTTAAGAAGCTGAACCTGTCTCCAATAGACTTAGACCTTACATCCCTTTGTAGTCCTGACACCACTGCCTGTCCACCGTCTCACAGTGTTTTCTCCAAGCGGATATACTGCATTTTTTCTTTACATTCCTATAAATAAAGCAACATCCACTCCAAATAACATTTACAGTATTAACCACTGAAGTTAATACTGCAGGAAAAATGTGAACAGAGCATGCCACAGAGGCAACAGATATTAGATGTCTCCCTCCGGGAGGGCTGGGGTGTTACTGAACGTGATCCACTCACCTGGACATGGATGGATTCATTGCTAGCGCTGGATAGGGGTGACGGAATCCCCCCGGAGGGATGGAGTACATGTGCTGGCCCTGCCTGGGAGACAGAGGTACACGGAGTGAGCGAAGGCTGCAAAGTGAGGTGGATCAAACACAGCTGACAGCTAACCCATCAGCACTAATCCTCCCCTCATCAACTCAAATCCCCTGCTTGTGGAACAGCACCGCTGCAATTGATTACAGGACCCATGGCAAAACCAATAAATGCTCATAAATTCCTCTTTTCATGATATAGTTCTATGCTGCCTTAAAACCTGGGTGTAGCAATCAAAAACTTTCTGGACAAGAAATACTATTTTTTTTCCTTGCTTGACTTGAATTTTATAAATCATTTATTGCGCTTTTTTAAATTTTAGATCAGGGAGAAGCGGTCGAAAGTTGGCCACTAAGCCAGCGCAGCTAATTAGCTAACATCTCTGGTGGTCTGTTAATATGCATCATCACAGCAGGTGGACGCGCCCACAAAGCGAACCCATTCCAAGAACGTGACGCAAGATGGTCGTCAAAAAAAATCTATTTTTTAGGCGAGCACATGTAACTGCAGCCAGTTAAAAGAGATATGATATGTATAAATAACTAAGTAATACATCTGGCTATGCAAACAGATCACAATGAAAGGAACGTACTGTGGCATGAGCCAGCTGAGAGGGTGTGCAATGGAACCGACTGCACCAGGAGACAGGGGGTAGTATGGAGACAGTTCTGATGGGTGAGGTGTCCGAGGAATACCTGCGGAGGCCACAGAAAGATCAGTTTAATAGAAAAAAAAAGTCTATCAAACTTCCACAATATATGCCAAATTGTTTTTAAGGCGCGAAACTTTCAAGCCAATAAGATGTGCACTTATCCGTGCACATTTCAGTGCTTAATTTCATATTATTATAACACAACAACTGTAGTTTTATCGCCACTTTTCCTTGCAAAAAGATTCCATGTGAAGGTCAGTGCATCCATCAGATGCTTTACCTGTCTTTGGGTCAAGGATCTCTGGGGAGAGGTGCGATGGCGGCGTGCCAGGGGAGAAGTGTTCATTGCTGTAGGTGATGAGGGGCGTCAGCGGGTGGACATGGTGAGCATGCTGTACCACTGGGACTTTATTGGACTGAAGGAGACACAGAGAGCTGAAGGTGAGCAACAAGTGCCTGACATCATGATTGAAGAGAGTGACACTAATGTGTTTTTCTGTACTAGTGTTTTATTTACACATCAAAGAATTATTTATATTTGTATCTGAAGCAAACATTTTGTCTCCCATAAGTGCATGATTCACGCTGGCTATTGTACAACAGAAATGCACGCCATAAATAGGCCATAATTTGTGAATGCCCTCCATGGTAAACATCACAGTTTATGCGTGTGACTGGCCCTGTGATGCAATCTGGACCGGCACCAAGAAGCAGTAAAAAGGCCTCGCGGACACATGCCAAGATCATTACGGCCATTTAGCTGAGGAGAGAACTGTTTGTTCAGTCCAAGAAGAAAAAACAACGGTGCCACCGAGTCCAAAAGTCGCACCAGCAAGCCGCAAATAAACACAATGGGGCTAAGGTAAACGAAACGACCATAAACATGTGGAGCCATCATCTCCCACTCCGTCTGACAGCAACCACCACGGGCGGATTACAAATGCTGCTAATGTTGGAAAACCACTTAAAATTCTGTATAACTTCAGATAAGTGGTGACGAGCAGAAAGGCCAGCAACACGCAGAGTATGTCTTTCCCTTATTTCCACAATGCTTCACACACTGTGAAAAAACAAGAAAGCACACATCCTCTGTGAGATCTGACCAGCATTAAGAAAGGGATGATGAAGACAATAATAATAACCAGCGTCTCTACTTTCATTAGGCAGCACTCAGCCTAGCAGTCATTTCCCCTGGCTGCAGGGCTGAATAGAGCACTTGTTGGCTCAACTTGTCACAAGGGAGGGTCAAGGGGTGGGAGGGGAGAAAGAAGTCTTGTTCCTCCAGGCTAACCTTTCTTCAATATCCCTCCCCACCCCCTTCCCAACCTCTGTCTCTCTCTCTAACGTGGTCTGCCAGGGAACAAGGTTTGCATTGAGAGTCCTGTATGCTCTCTTGCTTCACGCTGCTAAGAATTGTTCCAAATGTTAGCTTTTTCTCTGCAGCTTTTTTTTTTTTAAGAAAAAGGAAGGTCCAACCTTTTCCTCTTTAAAAAAAAAAAGTCTTTAGCAAAGTGGTTTCTCCTGTTTAAAGCAGGCTTTGATTCAGGTAATGCCAGATGGAGTGGGGAAAATATTTACTGGTGTTAAACATGGCTATATTAAGATCACTTTCCACAAGAGTTCTCTTTTTTTAAAATGTCTCCAGACTTGGAGGACGCGAGGTAAATGCATACGGAGAACGGAGGGCTTTGGATCGTGGTAGAGATGGTGTTGACTTAGTAGGTTAAAATCCTCGGTCCCACATGTCATGTATATTTGAGTTGTGCTTTGTTGTTCCACTTCATGTACAATATGCCGACTTATGAATTTCCCTATATTGTGAGAGCTGTTTGAGACCTCTAGACCTGAGTGCCAACACATTTTGGGAAGCAGTTCAGTGAGAATTTGAAATGATACACATTAATAATTCATATCTTGGAATACATGAATCGGGCGCTCCAAACATATTTCTAAGTTTGAAGGCACTAGTTTCAAATCCAGGCTGCTTCCAGCCTGACAAAATGCAGAGAGAAATGCCGTGTGCAGCTTCCATGGACGCAAAACTATTCTGACCTACATGCTACCTGTTAGAGCTTCTCTGTTAGAGATGAAAATGGATACTTGAGCTAGCAAATTCCTTTTTTATTTCGACATATATTTTAATTAAATGAATAGAAATCAGCATAATTGTAAGCTAGTTTAAATTAATTAAATTCCCCAGAACTCAGACATCATAACTCAAAACCAAACAACTTGTTTATCAGTGCCTTTTTTGGCTCGCTTTATGTCCGGGGTAATATTCCTCAAGCCCGTGAAAACCATCATAGGCGTAGTATTATTATCCACAAGCCAAGTGTAAGAGGAAAACCGCAGGAGTCGTGAGCCTCGTTTTAAATACAAACAACACGTACAGACGCTGTCTACGCCAGAAAGATACAAATCTTTACATCGATGTGCTTGTTCCAAACATGCCTGCAATGGTGCATAACCCTCATCCATCCAAGTAAAAACACTCGGAGCTGCTCATCTGAAATAGCAACAGGAAGGTTTAAGAGAGAGAGAGACGGGGGGAAAACAAAAAACAAAAAAGCCAGAGCAGAAAGTTTCGGAGCCGGTGCAGAGAAAAGATGTCTGTCTCTGAAGAGGGCTTAAAGCTAAAAAGGCCGAGGTGGCAGCACCTAGCCTGGCTGTCCAACTTGGAACGGTGCTAAGAAAAGCACAGTCCTTGGTCAGTGTGGGTGGAGGAGTGGATTTCATTCAAGCAAACATGTTTTTGGATCCTGCACATCTGAATTGAATTACTAGGCAAACAGCCGATGGGGAAGAGAGCTTAGAACAAACTGAATAACCCCGCAGCTTTGTGTGTCTTTATGCTCGGCGATTCTGGGTGGGAGGCTCAGAGGCCTTTCAAAACTCGAGGAAAGACGGCGTGAAAAGAATGCCTGGCATGCTGAGAAATCCGAGCCTTGTTTGTCAACGCCAACAGGAAGCGGACGTGAAAGGGGACTGACCGTGTCGTACGGTTGTGTGTCTTTAAAATCAGCCACTCCAAAAAGTATGCCATTCATCACAGGCAGTGTGCGCCTTTGCGACTGGTCATCGCCTCTGACAAGGTCAACGGCATTATAATTCTAGGTTAGAATAATACGGCATCAGATTACTGGAGTGAACATCCTCAGCGGTCATTAAATAAATGAAGAGAGCTAGCAAAGTCAGCACCATAAATATGGCTGTAAACACGGACAGATCTCTCTGGAGCCTAACCAGCGATAAATATTTGTAAATTATCAGACAGTAACATTACTTTCTGGTGAATCGGCCACTAATAAACAGTATCTTTTCACTCAGTCTGCCGCACTCGATCTGAGTACGCTCCTCTAAAGAGTTCGACTGGAATCAAAGCACTGGTTCCTCATCACATTTCTGAAGAGGATCCTGTCTCTGCAGTGGCCCAGCAGGACTGCAGACCTTAGATCAGTATTCAGTACAGTCCTCCCAAAGCCTTTGATTTCATGGATCTCGGTTGTTCGCTGCCTAATGCAAAACGAGAAAATCTCACCGGACTCCCAGTGAAAGGTCTGTTAAAGGAATATAGGTCGAAGGCAAATATGTGTATCGCTTTGGGGAGGGAAAAAAATGTATCGTTTTTATTTAATATTTCTTCTTAAAATGTTTTAAGAGCCCATAGATGTAGAAATTACACCAGACACATGTGGGAAGACAAAAAGGCATCTCTGGAATCTTGCTCTCTACCATGCCACTTTGATTCATTTAAACAATTCGGTGACTAAGTAGCTTGTGATACGCTGACAGGATCAGGCCCCTTGGTGCCGTGATTACTCCATACCATATTGAAACAAAGAGGGCGATTCTGTCAAGCGCAGATCGGCCCATATTTGACGACTGAGTGTGCTGTAATCCAGTAAGCATCTGAGGGACAGACAGCCAGTTCTGTCTGATTAACGAGTCACAGCTTCTCTGTAAAACAGATTAACAAAACTATTCAGTAATGAGACAGACAACAGGTCTAATGAATGAATTACTGCAAGTAAGTACGGCAAGGCTTGTGATCACTATTAGCAAAGTGGGAATCGATATATTATAGAAGATTCCTCTCCTCTCCTCCAGCTGGGTCACTACTGATGGGCTGACAAGTTCTCCATACTGCATCACCTGGCCCTGCAGCGCCTTTGATGCGTTATTCATGAGGCAAGCCTCTGAACACAGGAGCTGAAATGGGGGTTTTTGGGGTTCACTCGAGTGTGCATGTGTGTGTGTGTGTGTGTGTGCGCGAAAGACACGCTGTGGTATGTTCATGAAAAAAAAGCTTGTTCCCTTCTTCCCAGTCCTCCAACCCCACCATCATCATTACTACCAAAAGCAATACCAACTGAATGCTAAACAAACCTGTCTGTTGAATAATTGAGGATCTTGGGCAAGAGCAGGCTTCCGATTAGCATACAGGCCTTATGGACCCAATCTGTGGCAAGATGGTCTTTCCCCGGACCCACCGAACACAATTTCTATTCACCAACATCTTTTCTTGTTTCATTCACGCCAACAGAATCGTCAGAAATGTCAAAGCAATTTTGCTCTGGCAACACCGATTGGTAGAAATTTGAGAGTGCATTGTCCCCCCCCCCAAAAAAAGTTTCACATATCAACATGTGGCAACTGGCTAAAAGTTATTAATGTGCAGAAGAGCCTGACTGAGCAGGCCTCTCCATAACAGACTGCAAAAACCTTATCAGTGAACCCAGTTGTCGACATGCTTTTAAAATGCATGAATACGCATATCCCTATAAGCAGGCCCCAGCAGATAATCCAAACTGTGGCAGTCCATCTTCACAAAAAAAAAAAAAGCAACAATGTCAAATCTAACACACGCAGGGAACAGGTCCGCTTCAGGAGTCCCTGCTGGGGTCTCCTCAGCGTCTCCTTGGGTCTCTCTCTCTGGCTCCTCTTGGCCCTGGGCAGTAATCCCTGGCCCCCCGTGTGTGCCCATCCGCTCCCCCTGCTCTCATTAGTGCAGTGTTGGGGCCTAGGGAGCCTGCAGGCCTGGGGAGCCAGCCTGCTGCTCCCCTCCCACTCTCCTTCTCTCTCCTCGGCTGGAGTAATGAGCACATAATCAGCCTGGCTCCCTGTCAGCAGCAGCACACCAGAGGAGTATGTGGGCACCTGGCCCAGAAGGGGGGGGTGGGGTGGGGGGGTGGTAAGGGCACAGCGGGGTGTTTCACTTTTTATCCTCAGTGCCCACAGTGCGCCGTACCCAGCGTTCGATCTACCCACCCCACATCAAATAACCCTGTGGTCCCAGGTCACAAGATAGAGCGTAGCGACTTGCTCATCTAGATGACAAAATGAAAGCAGTTACACTTTCAGTGAACTTCCCCATCACTGACACTGATTTAGCGCAAAAAAAAAGCATAATTATTTTTTCCACAAGTGTTTCATACGTGACATTTGACAGCGCACCGCCCGTGCATTACAGCCGTCTTAACAGTATTAGCATTAACAACGCCAACACCAGTACAGAGCTTGTACAGATGTTGAATTTAAAGGCAATTTCCAAGTTCTGCTGTGCATATACAAAAACATTTTTTAAACATTTAAATGCATAAGAAAAGAGAACACATGTTCCAAACTTCCAAAGAGAAATACACAAAAACAAATGATACTTTGTATTCAGACAGTTTTTGCCAGAAAACGATCCCTCGCATTCTCAGACTTCTACATTGTTTCTTTCTGTACTAGCTTTTCTGGTTTAATGACATTCAAAGACATGAAGGCCACAAGACACAATAGAGTCACATAAAAAGTAGCAACAGCTACTGAAGGACAGAACAGAAACAATCCAACCGCAGAACTAAACCTCAGTCAACGTTCTTTAATTTCCTTTAATCCAACTGCCATCATCGCATTCATTTCTGTGAATTATTGCTCACTACAATGGGGATTCAGACAATTTTATAGTGTTCAGTACTGGCTAAACAGCAAAACTTCACCAAGCAGCTGCTTAGAGTCTAAAAGAAAACCAAAAAGGGTCACTGATAGGTCAGCATTTTTCCTAATAGAATATCTTTAATTGAGACATAAAGTCAGGACTGCAGTCCCATGAGCAAACTCTGTTTTCTTCACAATTTCCCATTAATTGCTCTCAATGAGGACTTTGTCAAATGCATCAGTACAATTACAGGATTCAGAGGATCAACCGCAAACACAGCAAGCATGTCTAGTCAGGATTTAAGGTCAAGGGGGCTGAGTCACGGCGACTGTTTTCGACTACAGAGCAGTGACAATGGCTTCCTACTCTCTGCACTGTTTAAAAATTGGCTTCCTGAACCAGAAAACGCCCCGATACAATCATGCAGGTGAGATGCTAGATAGTAAACTTCAGGCTCCACGTTATCTTGTGTTTTCCATCTGAAAAAACACACACATCCCTCAGTGAAGCCACAAACCAAACAGGTCTGCTGAGACCCCGCATTGTCTAACCCGAGTGAGACACCATCATGATTAGCTCACACCTGTGTGGGAAAGTTGAGGAATGGCAGGGAGGATCAAACTTGAGAGATTTATGCTGCAGACTGAGTTATTGTGGTAAAGACAGACAGGCTGCTGAGCAGCTGGACTGCGGGTGTTGCAGGCTGTGGTGGGAAGCTGCACATGGATGGGTGGGAACCGGCAGATTTGCATGCACACGATAACTTCATTATCGTGAATAATCGCATTACGCTCATGGTCTGATTAAAGCATTTATACGGCTTGCAGTAAATTGATTCCCTCAATACATTTATATGATTTGTCTGATAATTGGGTTAATGTCTTGTAGGATGCAGCCGGGAGGAAGCATCTTATTAGCGCCACAAAAATAAGGGAGGGTAAATAGTGGGACTCTGCTGGTGTGCACATTAATGGATTTGCTGAGCTGAGTTGTGCAGTGTGTGAAATTCTACTCCGTGTTTATTTCTTCCCTCATGCGAGCTGTTCTGCTGCTTGTCAAGCAAGCACTTAACTTATTCCACAATCTTTCTGACGCACGCAGTGAAGCAAACCTGCGGAAGACGTCCGACACTTGCAGCGTGCACGTGCAGCAATCCAAAGTGTTTGTCAGTGATCGGTAATGCCAAGAATTCGGAGTCGAACCCCGCTTGCACATCTTATCGTTGTCTGGGTTGAATTTTGTTCTGTTTTGAGATTTACTTACTAAATGGCCAGGTGTCGGAGAGCGAGAATCCTTTAGTCCTGCAGATCCGGGGACATCTAGAAGTGGCCATTTCATCTGCAAGTACTGCAAGTGAGAAAGAAAAAAAAGAAGCAGCGTTGAACCACAGCAAGTACACACTACAGGGAAAGGGGGTTACAAAAAACAACCAAAAAACTGAAAATAAAATATATGGATTTAACAAAACGCATTCAAAAATAGAGTCTCGTGTGCAAAAGTCACTCTCTAATGTGAGTGTAGGCAGACCAATCTTTTTTTCCGCACAGTGCAAAAGTGGCATAAAATGGTGTCAAACCCACAGAGATCTCCAGCAGACACCTGTACGAGACCCGCAGTGCTGCTGGAGTCTGACAGTGAGTTCTGGCACAGCGGAGAGTAGGAAGAGCGATGTGAACACAACGGACTGGTGGAGGACTGTGAAATTGCCGTTTGTCAGGGAAAAACAAGAGGCCAGCTGTGGGCGCCCATCGCTGAGCGGGTGGGAAGAGACAGCTGGAAGGAAGAGGAAGAACCATCTAAAGATCAGCAAAAGACTCCTGACTACCCACCTCAATCCGTATGGCCCTTTGACCTGATCGCAGCCCCTGCTCGTTTCTTTCTTCTCCACACTTTTTTCAAATATGAAAGTAATCATACTCTTTTTTTCTGGCATTTGCTAGACAGAAATCTGCAACTGCTTGTCAGATTATTACTGTTCTTCTCTCCCTTTGTGAGAAATGCGGTCAAGAAGAGGTTTTACTGCTCGATGCAACAAACTGAGCATTTTGTTTTTGTCCCACAGCAATGAAGATAGCATGAAGCCCGAGAGCTCCAACCATCTGGTTTATGAATCAGCTTAAATACCGGATACAGCAGCTTGTCATGCATGTGGATTTTCTCCCTGGTACAATTTAAAAATAATCAAGAGTTTTATTTTATAGGTAGTGTTGTTTGTTTTTCATTCATGCCCATGTCGAGTTGACACATAAAGCCTTCGCAAGTCATTGTTTCGGTAGCGTTATAAATTCTGTCACATGTTGTTGCGCAATTTCCCCATGCATCCACTGTTATCAGTCTGCAGTGAACTAGCATTGTTTTATAAATAAAACTCCATGTATGACTTCCAGTGCAAAAAAAAGCCCGCCCACTGGAAACATCTTGCTAATAAAGAAGGTCATTAATAGTACCCGTCGCTTAAAAACATTTAAAAAATAAATTTTTTAAAGCTGGACAAAAATCAGCTAAAGACTATATGCAAAGCTTTGTCCATTTTCTGAAAGTCGGTGCAGGATAAATGATGACAAAGAGGCAAACTAGAGGAGTCATGCATTCAGGTTTTGATTTTTAAAACTCCATTCATCACTCCGGGTTTGTAAGGAGGAAGGAAGCTTGGATGGCTGTGGGTTAAAAATGGAAAAGACATTATGGCAGGAGAGGGAAAAGGGAGAGGAGGGAAGAAAAAAAAACATTTTCAGGAATTAGTTTGTCGGAGCAGGCAGAGGGTATTGTTTCCTGACAGCTGGGGTCCAACAGAGCACTAAGGTAGGGGGAGGGGACCTTTTTTTTCCCCTTCGAAAAGGGGGGAAATTCTTGGAGTTGACATCAGCCCTCTTCATTTTCACTATACTGCTCAAGGCTGAATCGTAGGTTCCAACTAATGGGCCCAAGTCCATACAACTGTCAGGAGGCAGTTGCTTTTAAAGGCTGCTAGCTCCCTATTGAAACTTTACTCTGCTGTGTGCATAGTGCCTAATGAATGCTACTCTCCGGAGAGAAAATCCAAAACAATGCAGTTTTCTCTGTCTAATCTATGTCAATCATGAGTCCTTCCACAAATGAAACGAGCGCTATTGTGAGCGTTTGGTCTGGCCCGGCCGTGCCCACCCCAGCTCTCCCACCCAATCCATCCCTTATTTGACAGCTTCTGCCAGGACTGAGGAACATGCCCCCGGGCACTTTTTTCTGAGCACCTACTTTTCTTTTAATTGCCAGTGTGCCCTATGTAGCAACTGTTCACACACTCCCCGAAACATCCAGCCAGGTAATGCCAGCCGCACACTGTCACATTAGCTCCAGTCCACACTTTGAGCTACACACCGCTCACTCATACATGAGAGGGAGAGAGGGAGGGTGCTCGAGTCTGTGAGTTGCTTCTGGAAACAAAAGGTGAGGAATTGGGGGCCATGCTGCTTAGCAAAAACTTTCTCTGTGTTGCAGTGCAGAAGGAAAGAGAAAAAAAAAAAACAGGTAAAGTGTCAGAAGAAAGTTTGCACTGCAGAATAGGAGCCAGCATTTTTTTAAGTGGCTGATTCAAATGCCGTGGCTTAAGCGGTACTAGATGTTTGTAAAAGAGTGAAACAGGAGATAACCTAATATAAATTAAACTGCAAGACATTTGGAAATGCTTTACACGCGCCCTTATTTTATTAGAAACAAACGCAGCCATATGGTTGAGGTCTCATAGCAATGCCTGTTTCAGCATGGGGGCTGGAAGCTCTGGTAAGCACACTCGGACAGAGTACTGAAAGAAGTGTGTAACTAAAGTGAAGTTTAGCTGATCCATTTTCGTAACTCTCTAATTGTCTTCCAGCCTTCCCTGCTGCCTCCAACACTCAGAATAGACATCAGTAGAATGTGCTACTTTTACAGGACCCAGATGCAACAAAGGTGGCAGTGATGCCACTGAAATTTTCCAAAAAAGCTGCACTGGAGGCGTTTGGGTTTTTGAACACAGAGAATACAACATATGCTCGGGGGCATGTGGCCTGCCAGAGCTGGGTTCTAATTGTTACATTGCTCTCACAGAGCAGAGGAAAACACAGCCAAGAGTCTTTGTCATCTCTGAAGTGTGCGCTGCCATACTCCAGGCCAACAGCGGAGCACGGAGAAGAGACAGATGTCTGGACATTTGCTGTCAAACTAAGTCAGAGAGTCTGCCAAAGGGACAGAAAAAAAAATCCAAACTTTTGCTAACAACTATCTGTTAACTTAAAGGTCGCACTGAGGAGTCGTGTTAAGCGTAAATCTAGGTAATGTTAATTTTGCTATATTATCTAAAACGGATTGCAGGATTTTGCATATGTATTGGTGGCGGTGGATCAGGAAGTGGCTCAATACATGGACCCCCGCCCCTACCAAGTGTTACTTAGTTATAAAGGGCATAAAATGAAGCGCTGTTTGAATGTGCGCGAATGGGCAAATGTGGCTTGTGGCAAAAAGCGCTTTGAGTGGTCAGCTGGAGTAGGAAAGAATTATATGAGCACAATTCCATTTACCATTTAGCATGATATGCTCAATTGGATTAACTCACTCAAATCAACAGAAAAACAGTCAGACAGGCAACAAATAAAGGAGCGAATATGCATAAAGTGGCAGCTCAGACGCGGCCTGGTGCTTGTAAAAGCGGCTTCGCCCAACTTGCGGTGAATAGCCGAGCAGCAGGAATGCCTCCATGGATCACCCCGGCAGATAATGTCAATCACCTACTGTGTGGAGAACTCCTCCCCATTGTTTTCTTTTAACCCTCCTCCCCAACAGAAAACAAATGGGCCACACAGCTTGCTGTTTGGCTGAGGTGTTAATTACCGTCCCCCCGGCCCATATGAACAGCAACTTCAGACAATAACCCTGTCAGGCTCCCGGCAGGAACAGTCCCTCCCAGGTTTTCTCTGCTGATATCACCTGCTCCACGCGGGGCTATTGACACCTAAACCTGATCTATGCATGAAACACAATTAAAGACTTTAAGGCACAAAGGAAAGTGTGATAGGTAGCACCCGCCTTTGTCTCAGAGTTTGCATTAAGCGCCATTGTTTGTCGACATTAAGGACAATTACGCAGACAATTGTTAAGCAAACCTTGGAAGTCATTGTGCTAATTAGCGTGTAATTGATGGGGAAATGACAAGCGGCTCAGCTGGTAATACCCGCAATACCGTCTGCGAATGAGGCTACTGCCTGCACTGAATGTGGACTTTTCAACTGGTCCACTATGAGGTAAGTATGCATTAGTAGCGGTGGTAGGGAGGTTGTTAATTAAAGGAAGATTAAAAAAACCTAGTTTGGTGAGAGTGTAAGTTATGGTGATATTTCTATTGCAGAATACATGGAGTATAAATACAGTTACATTAGGCACCCATAAAAAACTTTTGGGGTTGAAGCCTGTCGTCTTGGTTTATACTACATTAACCGTGAGAAGCCCGTGTTGCTGCACTGGAAATAGCATGCTGCTAATGGCTACCACATTTGAAGTGTCCATTAGCCCACAGAGGAATGAAGTTAAGTGACTATGACAGGGGCACTCCCTCAGTTTGCCAGGCTTCTATTGTGACCCGGTTGGTCGTCCTGCACTCTTATTCACAGCCAGTAGAAAAACTGGGTCAAAGGTCAGACATCCAGAGTGCTGTGGTTTCTATGACGACGTGGCCTATTAAGGCCAGGCTCATTGGCCTCTTAACATGCTCTTGTACACAAAAGAACTATTAGTGCAAAAAAAGGGGAGCGAGAAGCGATGAAGGGAGGCAGCGCCGGGGAGGTCCTGACAGCGCAGCGTCAAGCTTCTTCCGACATTTCCAAGACGGTTCGTGCAGGATACGCACTGTATGTCAGACGTACGCAGCGATGACGTGCTCTTCCGAAAACAGGCAAGATACGTGGGTTTGCGCTTTTCTCAAAAGGTCTCAGCTTTAAATTACTCAATGAGCGATGCCGTCATATGACTACCTCATGTGTATTCTGCACAAGGCCAAACTCACCAGCAAACCGGGTTTATTTGAAAAGTCCTTGGAGTGAATTTACTGCTGTTTCAGTAATAAAACAGCATTAACAGAATACAAGGCCAAGACAAACCCCCATAAAAAGCTTCTTTAACATTCTGTCTCAGTGAGTGAGCTGCAACTTAAGCAGGCGTTTGCATTTTTGCAACTCAAGCAATTATTTGTTTCATGAGGCTACTCTTTTTTTTTTTTTTTGTCTTCCTTGAGCATGACATGGTCCTGAGTTATTACTTCCTGCATCTAGAGTGTAACCAACGTTAACTGCAATGTGTGTGTTAGAATGAAGCCGCCATTGTTCTCCTCCTTGGATTTC